CTAAACACCGCTGGTGCGGGAGGGAGGGAGGGTAGGTGGGGCAGGAAGAGGGAGAGATCTGCATGGGGGTTGGGGGAGAGGATGTGGGAAAGAGGAGCCTGCCGTGTCCCAGGGGCAAGAAGGCCACGTGTAGGGCTTGGGGTGGCAGTCTGGGGGTGACTCGTGGAAATGGAGGCTGCCCACAGCCCCCCCAGGCTGGGGCTCCCGTGGAAAGCCCTCCTGGGCAGCAGGGGGCCAACTGGGGGGGCAGGAACCCTGTTTAGTGCCCAGGGTGCCACGTGACCCTCTCCCAGGAATGCGCTGACGTCACCGGGGGCGTGGCCGTCCCCCAAATTGGGGAGGAAGGGGGGTAAAAAAAAAAAAGCCAGAAAAAGTTTCCTGGAATCCCAAACGAGGTGTGCGGTGTGCAACGGAAGAAGGGATCAAGGCTAGAGGCCCGGGGCTCCGTGGGACCCTGACCGCTGTCTGGAGTCCCCCATTCCAGGCCATGTCGGGACCCACTTGGCTTCCTCCGAAGCAGCCAGAGCCCGCCAGAGCCTCTCAGGGACGAGCTCTCCCCAGAGGAGCCCCGGGGCCGCCGCCCGCGCACGTAGCAGGTAAGGGAGCCCTAGTGCGGCGGCGGAGGCCCCGGCTGGCAGGCTCCTGCGTCCCGCTGAGCCGGCTCCTGCGTCCCTCCCCCGAGGCTGGGCTGGAATCAGCGGCCCCTGCCCTCTCCGAGGCGCTCCTTGCCTCCTGCCTCATTCTGGGACCCCAGGTGTGGATGTGGGTGTGGGTGTGGCGGGGAGAGCGAAGAGGGACCCAAGAGGGCAGCCTCCACCAGTGTCACCCCGTCTCCTTCCCCATCTCCACCTTCACTCTGTTTTCCCTCACCTCAGCCCTTCAGCCCCACCCCAGAGTCAATTTTTGCCCCGTCCCATCTGAGCAGTGTTACCAGGCTCCCGGGGGATCAGAAGATCGGGGGCCCACCTGGGTGGGGTGCCATGGAGCACCCCAGCGCTCACAGGTAAGAACCAAGATTGGGGGGTGCATGGCATCCTGGGCAGGAGAGGAGGCCATGTGATTTGCATTCCCCCTGCTTTTGCTCCATTCCCAGGGGTTCCCACCAGACAGAGGGGGGCTGCGCCCAGGAAGTCTGGATGCTGAGATAGATTCCCTGACTAACATGTTGGCTCAGCTGGATGGGGGTTGTGGTCATGCTCCACTGCGGCCTGACCGGCAGGTGACCCCCCCCCCAATTCCTCCTCTGCTCCTTGTCCCTTGTCCCCTGTCCACCCAGCCCATCCCCACCTCCCCTCCATCTCTGTGTAAGTGATGTACATATCAGCTCAGGAGCCGGGCCACAAGAGCTTAATGGGTTGTCAGCCAGATGAAGGTCAAAAACCAGCCCTTACCTGGGCAACACACACATGGGGTGGGGGTGGGGGTGGGGGTGAGGGTGTTTCCACTGGTGTGTGTCCTATAGTGGGCCTGCTCACTCCTTTTGGTCTGCATTTCTCCCCAGGTTTATGAGCCCCCTCAGCCCCCTGCCTACCGCCCTGGCTCAGGCTCCCTGAAGCCCAGTGGAGGGGGTGTTCTTCCCCCACTGCTCCCAGCATCCCCCTATGGGGGACCCACTCCAGCCTCCTATGCTACAGCCAGCACTCCTGCTGGCCCTGCCTTTCCTGTGCAAGTGAAGGTGGCACAGCCAGTGAGAGGCTGTGGCCCTCCAAGGGGGGGACCCTCTCAGGCCTCAGGGCCCTTGCCAGGCCCCCACTTTCCTCTCCCAGGCCGAGGTGAAGTCTGGGGGGCTGGCTACAGGAGCCACCGAGAGCCAGGGCTTGGGAGTAAAGAGGAGGTTGCTGGGAGCTCCAGCTCTGTAGGAGGAGGAAGAGGAAGTGGGTACAGGCACCAGGTAAGCCCTGGGAACGGGATTTGGGTTCCTCTCAGACTGCTGGACACTGATTGGGTGGGGTGGTGGTGGTGTTTTAAGTCCTGGTTCTCAGAGGTCTGGGGTGTCAGAGCTCTGGACCTCCCCCCCGACCCCCCAGAGGTGTGGGGTAGGTCAGGAAATGTAGGAGGGAGGGGACTGGAGTGACACGCTGGCTTCTCAAGCTTCGCCCTTGAACCCTGGGCTGAGATGTTCTCCAATGAGTTTTCTGGGTGGAATTGCTTGGTTACCCTCAGGTATTTTGACAGCATCAAAAGCTAGAGGTAGTGCCAAACTCCTGATTCTCACCTCCCAGGGTCCCCTCAGCCAGCCTCCTGAGGAGGAGCTCGAGAGACTGACCAAGAAGCTAGTGCATGACATGAGCCACCCGCCCAGTGGGGAGTACTTCGGTGAGCTGAGTCTAAGGGTGGGTGGAAAGGGTGGGGGACTGGAGAGTCAGAGGGACACTGGATCTGGTTTCCTGGCCTATGCAGGTTGACCCTTCCTTCCCTGTCCCCAGGCCGGTGTGGGGGCTGTGGAGAAGATGTTGTTGGGGATGGGGCCGGGGTTGTGGCCCTGGACCGTGTCTTTCACGTTGGCTGCTTTGTGTGTTCTACGTGCCGAGCCCAGCTTCGGGGCCAACATTTCTATGCCGTGGAGAGGAGGGCATATTGTGAGAGCTGTTATGTGGTGAGTGGTTGGGGCTGGAGGCTGGAGTGAGCAGAAGAGGCAGGGGGCTTTCATCCTAGGTGGTAACTAGATGTCCATGTCCCAAAGAGGAACAGGGTTCAAGGGTGGGGGACTAAAACTGATATACAAGAAGGGAGGAATAAGGTAGCTAAATATTGGCTGCTGGAGGGTAAGGACAACAGCCCCTTACATATGTGAGGCATATATTTTAGACTTAAAGGAGTGTGTTAAATTCCCACACACACTATAAGGCAGATATTGAAGGAAACGGAATACACACTATAAGGCAGATATTGAAGGAAACTCAGAGAAGTTACATAACTTGCCCAGGAAGCTGTAGTGCTGAGTTTTGCTCTCAGATCTGTTCAAGGCCACCTTTCACTAAATCAAATGCAGGGGGCTACGTAAACAGATGGGTGAGCTGGCAGGATGCCTGTAGGGCTGCCGTGGTCCTCCCCAGATTGTAGCCTTCCTGTCCACCTTCCTAACAGGCCACCTTGGAGAAGTGCTCCACATGCTCTCAACCCATCCTGGACCGGATTCTTCGGGCTATGGGGAAGGCCTATCACCCTGGCTGCTTCACCTGTGTGGTGTGTCACCGTGGACTCGATGGCATCCCTTTCACAGTGGATGCCACCAGCCAGATCCACTGTATTGAGGACTTCCACAGGTCAGGCTGGATGCCCCCACCTTTGTTTTAGGTCATTTGCCTTTCCTATCTTTCTCCTCTCTTCTTCATGTCCCAGTACCAGCCTCTCCTGTTTCCCACCCTTGCCATGCCTTGTTCTCATTAACATCACTCGCTTCCCCAAGATCCAAGACCATACCTCTGGCCTGTCCTCTTCTCTCCTGCATCCCACCTCCTCTGGGTTCCCTTGTTAGTCCCCTCCAACCCTGGGGCTCAACAACCCTCTTGGTTCTCTTCTATCCCAGGAAATTTGCTCCACGATGTTCAGTGTGTGGTGGGGCCATCATGCCTGAGCCAGGTCAGGAGGAGACTGTGCGAATCGTTGCTCTGGATCGAAGTTTTCACATTGGCTGTTACAAGTGCGAGGTCAGGGGGCCTGGACAAGGGGAAAAGGAATTCTTGGGGTCTAGGCTGCTGGGTTGTGGAAGAAACCAGAGGTTTTGGCCTGATGGAAAGCTGTTGCTTCTCTCCTAACAGGAGTGTGGGCTGCTGCTCTCCTCCGAGGGTGAGTGTCAGGGCTGCTACCCGCTTGATGGGCACATCTTGTGCAAGGCCTGTAGTGCCTGGCGCATCCAGGAGCTCTCAGCCACCGTCACCACTGATTGCTGAGTCTTCCAAGAAGCACCTGCTGCATTCTCCCTTCCCATTCACCACCTTCCCTGATATCCACCTTTACAACTCTGTCACCAAATGCTGTCTTCGCTTCCTCCAATCATGAAATAATAACCTCTCAAGTGTTTACAAGACACTTTCAAGTCTGTTGTCTCATCTGATTCTCACAGTAGCCCAACAAAACACAACTGTGGCGACTGTCTGCATTTTTAGCTGAGAAGTAACTTACCCAGACTGCATGGTTCCCAATTGGCAGAATCTGGGTCTTCTTAGCCCTGGTCTAATTTTTTGTAACTCTACTACAATTCGCCTTCTATATCCCTGGGTTCAATCAACTGAGGATAGAAACTACTCAGAAAAAAAGTTATATTTAGCTGAAGCGTAGTATGTGGTTAGGCCTACCATGGTTGCACCTGGTACTGAACATGTAGACTTTTTTTTCCTTGTCATTATTCCCTAAACAGTAGAGTATAACAACTACTTACATAGTATTTACATTGTATTAGGCCTTATAAGTAAACTAGAGATGATTTAAAGTATACAGGAGGATGTGTATAGGTTATATGCAAATATTATGCCATTTAATATAAGGGATTTGAGCATCTGCAGATTTTGGTATCCCCAGGGACCAATCCCCTGCGGATACCAAAGTACACCAAGGGATGACTGTATACACCCTTTTTTGCTGTAAACACACCCCTGCTCCCAGTGTTGGGAGTAAGGCAAGAAGTATGCTTCAGGGAGGCAGCATTTCCTATTAAACCTTTACACTCAACTCACTGAACAAGGACTTGATGTTACCCCTGGGGTGATGGTGCATTTATTCTGGGGTAAGCCAGGCACTGCCTGTTAATCGAGACCTCAACCTATAATCTTGTGTCATCAAAGTACTGATTGGGGATGAGACTGAGATTTGACAGTTTTTCTTACAAAAGGGGCACCTTTGCCAAAAAAGGGCAGGAACAATGGGTTTTGCAGATAGCGCATACCAGGCACCAATAAAGACTAGTTCTCCGATGGGAGCACAAAATGGTGGGAAATGCT